GTCAAGGCGGAGTTGGCCAGGGATCATGGCAAAGCAGCGGGGTCCAAGCTACTTGATCTCATCAAGGCCTACGACCACGTTCCCCATCATGTGCTCGCGGCGCGTGCCAAGAAGGACAGGTTCCACGGCAACGTACGCTCTCGATCGGAGGGTGATGTTCGAAATTATTGCGACCCAGATCGTCTCGACGAATCGTGCGATCGTGGCCGGCTGCAGTTGTGCGACTTCCCTCCAGCGTCTGGTGTTTCTTTCTTTTGTTGATGCGGTAGTTGCTCGGTATCCATCCATCGATTGGGCGACTGTTGTTTGAAATTTGCAGTTGCAGAGGGTGGGTGATGCCTGGGACGTGGTTGACGATCTTAAAAGGGGCTGAGGATCTTCTCACGGCTGAATTGGCCAAGCGCGGCCTCGCGATCTCCCTGCCCAACGCGCCAGACAGTGGTAGGTCAGGATGTTCGGCGCGCTGTTCGTAAGGTTGATCCCCGCTCAGCTCGCTCTCTTACCAGATCGGTTCGGAATCTTGGGCTGGATTTTGGAGGCGGCCACCGGATCCTTCATGCGGTACGGGCGCAGCGTCTTGGGAAGATGGGCTCTAGGGCCCCACGGCGCCAGCGGCTGGCCAAAGCAGGGGGCAAGACAGCGAAGTTGGCCCAGACGGGCCTCAAGCCTGGGATGCTCCGGGCGGTCGGGGCCCACGGGGCCAGCAACGCGCATTTGCCAAAGGCCAGGCAGTTGGCTCGTGCGGGATGCGTGTTCAGGCACGCGGGTAGGTCTCTCTCGCTCGACTTGATGCTTGCAGGCCGCCAGGTCGACCCCGCTTTCGAGTGCGTGGGCCGATCCACTTGTGGTTGCAGGCGCTCTGGGACGGTTGGGAGCCAAGATCTGACGCGGCGCGCCCTCTGAGCAGGGCGTGGGCTCGTCTTTCGGTTCTCCCAGAATCCAGGGCGCGGCCCGACATTCGGGGACCTGCCTCGGCCCTGGTGGGCACTATGATCCGTTTGGGATGGAAACTGGTCAACCCGTTCCGTTGGCAAACTCACTGCGGGCCCGTCTCGATAGAGGAGATTGCGCCCAGGGATGGAGGCAAGTTGGCTGATGAGGCCACTGAGCGTTGGCTTTGGCAGCAGGTCTTGGCTAAGCACCCGTCTCGGGCCTCGCCCTGCCCCCGCCCCCCGCTCCTGGAGCCCCTGAGGCCCCTTCCCCCCCCCCCCCCCTTCCTCTAAGCGCCCCGACTGGCCCCCAAAGCGCCGGGGGATCCTGGGATGCATTTTTTGCAGGAGGTGTCTGGTCTCAGGAAAGGCTATGCGATGCTGGCGGTGCGGTCCACCCAGATTGTTTAGTTTGCAAGAGCCGGGGCACTACGCGGCACCGTTTATACGGATGCCTCGCTAGGGGCGCTTTTCGTCGCGTGCATAAAACAGAATATCAGTTGGCTGACCAGATGTTAGAGCTGGCCCATTCCGCTGCTGACCTGTCTTTAATTTGGACCAGGTTTCTGGTCACCCGCCCGCCCTGGCTGCTGCCAAGCCCGCGCCGTGAAGAGCGAGTTGTCTGGGCCTTGAGGACTGGCGACTTGCTCCTTGATGCGCATGCGTTCGGTGATGGCTCGGGCTTGCATGGGCGGCGCAGCCGCCTTAGACGATGTGGTTGGGGATTCTGCTCTCTCGATTCTTCTTGGCGCGAGGTCGCCAGAATGCATGGGCCGCTTCCGTCTATGTTTCAGTCTGTGCCTGCTGCGGAGCTGTTTAGCTCCCCCATGGCGTTGGGATATACGGGTGCGCAGCTTAAGTTTTACACCGATTGCAAGCGGCTAGTATAAATTTGGCGCCAAGGGTTCGGAGCTGGCACGGCTGCCAGCGACCCAGCGGCGGTTCTCTGGAAGGAGGTCTGGAGGTTGGTGGCGGATCGGGGTCTTGAGGCGGTGGAGGCCACTCATGTCAAAGCCCGCGCGCCGCTCTCGGCGGTGGCTGATGGGCGCACTATGGCTTGGCAGCGTTTCGGGGATGCCAAGGCTGCTGAGTCGGCAAAAGTAGGAGCTTCTCTGCACTCGGATAATGAAGGCCTGCGCGCAGCACACAAGTCTTCGATCCAGGCGGTGAAAATGGTTGCTATGTGTTGTACGCGCGTCGCGGCCAGGATCGGTTCGGTCGCGGCCCAAGACGCCCAGGTTGTTGCGCTTGGTAGGGCGGTTGGCACCATCGAGGGTGGGTTGGGCCCCCCTAGGCCGCATTCTCGTTGCGATCCCGCCGGCGCGCTCATGGGCAGGAGGTTTCGCTGTATGATTTGCCTCAGGTCGGCTAAGTCCCGATCAGTGTTTCGGCAGTTGAAGTGCATGGAAAGTCTTGCATGCGTTGCATCGTGCTGGGCCCGTTGTGTTCTTTTCGGTTTGTGGAGCGCATGCCGAGGAGCGTAGCCTGGGGCTTTCCGAAGAGCGTGGGCCTTTTAAGCTCCGCGCGGGCGCGCTCGTTAAGGATTCCAGGTGCTATCGGCTGCAGAGCCTGCTTAAAGGCGGTCACCCTAAGTCAGGCCTGTTCCTAGGCCCTCCAGTTTTGCTGCGCAAGCGCAAGTCAACTGCTGCCGCTTCCATCTCTCCCTGAGACCTCTGGGGCGGGGAATGGTGTGGGAGTGGGGGCGGGGTGGGCGGGGCGGGGGCATTTTCCTCCCCCTGTTGCCAAGGCTGATTTAGCCTTGTGGGAAAGCCTTGTCGGTTCCCCCGATGCCAGCGATTCGGGCGACGACGATCCCGCTCGCGAAGCGAGGCTGTGGGTCGAATAATCTTTGGCCAACGCATTGCTTTCAAACCTTTGGCTCGTACGCGTGCGGCTGGTCTTTGTCAGGTCAAAAATCCCATTACTTCTCCCCGTCCTCGGAAATCGGAGAACGGAGGGGAAGGGGGCGCATGCTGACATCCTCCAGCGTTTTCCGAACAACATGGCGGAACCGAACCAGTGCATACGCCGAGCTTGTCAGCTGCAGTGGACCCGAATTTCGCCGAAGCGCCCAGGACCAAGCCCCAACCAAGCCCAGGCCCACACCTTTGAAGGGCTGATGGCAACATAACCGTCGAAGGTTCGGAACATCAAGGCATGACAAGAAGAAGGGCCATCAGAGGGTCGGTATGGCCAGAAACCGCACTGATTGCACAACGCCACGCAAGCACCGAGCATAGAGAAAGCTTTACGACAGCGAGGGCGCGCACGTGCTTCAACGCTCTGTGCCACCTAATACTTGATATCCTCCCTCCTCTCCTCTCCTCGGATCCGTCACCGCCAACATCCGCCCCATATTATTATTCATGCTATTTGACTAAGCACTAGCGCAAGCGCAGAGTGGCTCATCATTCGTACACTGCAAACTGGGAGCGGCTCCCACAACGTGGGACTCGCGGTACATTGCGAACTCCTAATGGGGGTTGATGCGGGAGGCCCCCCGGAACGACCGAGACATCTAGTTTGCGACAGCCGATCCACCCGAATCAGGGGTCGAGCGCTTGTGCAATTGAGTCTTGGATGTTGCCCATGCTTCTTGAGAATCAAGCATTTCATTGACGATGTGTTAACTCTGATGGCGGGTTGTGCAGCTGCGGGCAAGTCGCAGGACGTTTCACTCTCCAGGCCTTGAGAGGGGCGCGGTGATTTGGCGGTCGCGGTTTCAGGGGGGAGTTTTGAATACGCGGCTGCTCGAATTTTCACCGCCGAGGTGTCAGGGATTTGATTGTGAAGATCTATGTTCGCCACTGCGCGGCGCTGGTAATTTTTGCCGGCTTGATCTTGGCATCCGTAGTTTGAGGCACGTTGTGCTTGGTATTCCGCCGCTGTCTACACTGGTAGCCACTGGAAGCGTGAACGATGCCGCCAGATATCGGAATCTTTTATTTCCGTCGTCGTGGTCGTGGTTCTTCCCCCCCGCTAGTCTCCCGCCGTGGAACCCACCTCTGGCCTTTCTGCCCCCCCCCCCCCCCTGGGCTCGGGAATCAATGCTTCTCGTCGTCGTGGTCGTGGCTCGTCCTCTAGCTGCTCCCTCGGGCCTCCTCCCTTCTGTGCCGACCATCTGGACACGGCCCCTCTGGCGCGCTATACGCTGGACCCCATGGCAAGTAGAACTGTGATGCTTCTACTGAACAGATAAGTGCGTATGGCTACTGTTCAAGAGTGCGTAAACGGTAGGAGCAGAACCTGTTAGGCAAATCGCGCGAAACGCCTGCCTCGCCCTGCCGAAACGTCTGGTTGCGCAGCTACCAGGAGTTCTCGAGCGAGGAAAGGCAAGGATATCCATGGGGGAGGGGAAGGGGAGGGGCGAGATAAAGAAAGAAGGATGGAAGGGAGGGGGAAGGGGGGGTGGGAAGTGGAGGGGGGAGCCAAAGGGGAGATACAAGGGAGAAAGAGGAGGGCGGTGGAAGAAGAGGAGGAGGAGGAGGAGGAGGAGGAGGAGGAGGAGGAGGGAGAGGGGGAGGGGGAGGACCTCAGCCTCAGCGGCCCCCCTCTGACGCGAGCCCCCAAGAATCCCGACCCTTTCCCGAAGGCCAGCTTCGCGTCCCGAGTCGTTTTCTGACGGCCCCAGGGCCGGCAAGCGGCGGCCTCCAGAAGCCACTGCGATGTTTTATGTGTTTGCTCGTCGCCTGGATCTGCCCTCCGCTCTGGAACGGCCGCGGCGCCCGAGACATCTTCCAGATCCGCCGGCCCTCAGAGATCCCCGACGCATCCTCCTCCGCATTTGTCCTCGTCCTGCCTTGGTCTCAATGGGTGTGGCCGCGCGTAAGAGTGTTGGTGCGGGCCCATTCGGGCTCCCCGAGGTGACCCTCCGCCGGAGTAACCTATGGTGCTGGCCCATTCGGGCCCCACGATCGCTGAGTGCAGTGCGACAGCAGCGGCTTGCGCACTTGTGTTTGGCGCCCCCGCGCGCCCCCCAAAGTGGCGCACCAAAGGTCACCTTTGCTTAGGGGGAGGCCGTCGGCAGCCCCCCTCTGCGTACCTGCCCGCCCCGATCGTGCGCCCCCAGAGGCCAGCACGGATCCTGCGGCCCTCGGCGCTGGCGGGCTGGGAATCTTCGAGGACGCGGGCGGCGAGGCCTTGCCGCGTGCTCTCGGGGCCACCTCTCGCAGGCAGAGAGTGGCAAGGAGGCTGCGGGAGGCTTTGCCGACGTCGAGGATCAAGCAGTGGCGAGGCGTCCTGGCTTGCCTTATAGCCCACCAGAGAATGTTCTAATAGCTTTCTTTTGTGATTTGCACGAGATGCTCTTAGAGCAATTCTGGCTGAGGCTTTTATGGTTGAATACATCGGCTTCATGTTATGTTAGCCAGCATGGACTTTTAACAGTGTGACTCTAGCAATATATGTTGTGCAGTCTACGTGGTGCAATCTACGTCACGCAGTTCGCACAGCCGAATTTGAAGATGACGACTCCACTGCTCGCGCAGTCATCTCACCCACCCATCCGTAACTTGGTTTGCAAAACCCATGCGGTTGCGATTGCGATGAGTGTTTGGCGCTGACTGGCGCGTCGCTGCGGCCGCGCGAACGCGCGCAGGCTCGCGCGCAGAGCCGCCAGGTAGCCTGGCGCGACCGACGTGGCCGCGGTGGCAGTGACCGATGGGAACTTCCCAGCGCGCCTCGCAGGCCGCGCTGACGCGCGGGCAGTTCAGTGCAAGTCGGTGATCCGGGCGGGCGCGGGATCATGGCTACGTCGACAACGGCAGACACGATGATGATAGTTTCGATGTTGCGGACGACGATGACGATGACGACGGCAAAGCCAATGACGGTGCCGATGTTGATCATGCCGATGACGACGGTGGTGTCCACACATCGGCAATGCAATTTTAGGAAAGAATTCGACATGCGCGTGCGGCCGACGGGCGCGAGTGGCCCGCGTTAGATTTGTTGATGGGGATCCCCCGCACGGGTGCAAGGGCGTTCGAATAAATTTGACACGCGCGCGCGGGGGGGCCGTTTGGTCGCATGTGATGTATAGTTTACAAAACCCATTGTTTCCCGATGAATTCACAAGAGCTCGCGCGCACACGCTTGTTTGAAAAAGCAACGTTGGCACGCCATGTTTTATTTTACATGTTTTCGGGACCCTCCCGCTCTGGCGCTGGCGCCCGCGCTGGCGGCGGCCAGCAGCGACGACGGCAGACGCAGCGACGATGACAAGAGAGGGCCCAAAGGCCGCACAGGGGGAACACAAATTGCAATGTACACCACAACAACCACCACCACCACCAACCACCACACCACCACCACCACCACCGCCACAATCACCACCACCACTACCACAGCCTACCACCACCACCACTACCACCTGACCCAAAGCCAAAACACGGTGGCGGGAAGACCCAAAGGCCTCACCACCACCACCACAAACCACCACACCACCACCACCATCACCACGGCCACCACCACAACCACCCCCACAACCAACACAACCCACCACCACCACAACCACCACCATCACCACCAACCACTACACCACCAGCACCACCAAAAACGCCACCACCACCACAACCACACCCACAACCCACCACAACCACCATGACCACCACCACAAACCACCACACCACTACCATCATCACCACAACCAGCGCCACCACCACCACAACCCACTTCCACCACCACCACAAACCACCACACCACCACCACCAGTTCCACAACCATCACCACCACCCACCGCACCACACCAGCACCACCAACACCACCACCAACACCACCAACATCACAGCCCACCGCCACCACCACAAACCACCACGCCTCCACTACCACCACCACCACCACCATCACTACCACCGCCACCACCACAACTCACCGCCACCACCACCACCACAAACTACCACGCAACCACAACCACCACAGCCACCACCACCACCACAACAACCCACCACCACCACCACCACACCCACAACAACTCACCACCAGTACCACCACAACCGCCACAATCTACCACGCCACCACCACCGCCACAACCACAACTCACCACCAGAACAACCTACCACCACCATCACCACAAGCCACCACACCACCACCACCACCACCACCACCAGCACCACCTCCATAACCCACCACCACCATCGCCAACACCACCACCACAATCCACCACGCCACAACCACCACCACCTCTGCCATTACGACCACCACCACAACCAACCACCACCACCACCAACCACCACACCACCACCACCACCACCACAACCACCACCATCACCACAAACCATCATTACACCACCACCACCACTACCAAAAATGCTTCCACCACGGCCACAACCCACCACAACCCACCGCAACCACCACGACCACCATCACCACCAAAAGCCACCGCACCACTACTACCGCCACCACCACCGCCACCACCACCACCACAAACCACCACCACCACCACAAACCACCACACCACCACGACCACAACTGCCACCACCACCACCACCACGACCACCACCCACAACCCACCACACCACCACAGCCCACCACCACCACCACCACCATTTCAGAGAGGCCCCAAGACAGGTCCAAGAGGCGCCCAGGAGGCTTCACACATGCCCTTCAGAGGCCCCCGAGGGCTCTCCGACGAGACCCCAAGAGACATCCATTAGAACTCTGCCCCGAAACGAAGGCACGGTGGCGGAGCGTCGTCGTCGTCGTCATCGTTGTCGCCGTCGTCCTCGTCGACGCTCCCCGCCGCCGCCGCCAGCCGTCGCAAGCGCTGGCGCCGGTCAAGAAAGGGAAGTCGTCGTCTTCATCGACGTTCCCCGCCGCCGCCGCCAGCCGCCGCCGACGCCAGCGCTGGCCCGAGGACAGGGAGAGAGGAGAAGTAGGAGGGGGGAGGGTTGAACCCCCCCCCTCCTCGTCACTGGAGGGGGGGGGGACTCGACCCCCCCTCAATCCAGATGGGGGGAGGTCCGGTTCCACTCCCCCCCGTCCAACCGCCCGCAGAATGCGCTCTTTCAGATTTTGACAATCCGTTGAAAACCAAAGGTTTTCCCTAAACATGTCGGCATGCGCGCGCGACAACGCGCGCTTGCGCATTTCGTCCTGCGTTTTGTTGCAAGGGGTTTTGATAATCGAGTGCGCGCGCATCCTTGTTTGCCAAAGATGGCGGGGGCTGTCGACCCCATCCTGCCTGGAATTCCACCGCCAAAGTATGTCCACATCCACCGCTTCTGGCCTTGGGATTCCGAAGAGCGGCGGACATGGGTATCTGCCCGCCCGCGTTGGCGGGCAGATATCCGTATCTGCCGCTCCCCGAGTTTTCGGAACACGACCCAGCAGCAATGGATATGGTCATATTTTGTTGGCGGTTGAATGGGCCTAATCCACATACATATATATATATATATAATCAATGCGCGATGGGGCAGATTCATATGTAAATCGCCCATCCCGAAGGGGAGCGGATAATGTTGGTTTCGACCTCGGGGGGGTCCTGATTCCTTGTTCGAAGACAGGAAATCCACGTTGTGCAATCTAGGCCGGCGACGAGGCGGCGATGGCGGCCACATAGCCGCCAGACCAAGGGTACGGCCCAGACGACGGGCGGCGACGAGGCGCCGACGGGGCGGCGACGGCGGCCGCATAGCCGCCAGACCAAAGACACGGCCCACAAGACGGGCGGCGAGGAAGCGGCGACCGGGCAGCGACGGTGGCCACATAGCCGCCAGACAGAAGACACGGCCCAGCTCCTTAGAGTAAAAGCAAGAACCCGTAGTTGCAAACACGGTTTGGGGAATCTTCATGTGTCCTAAGATTGTGTTAGCCAGTGTGGACCCCAAAAAGTGTGGTTTTACTTTTTTCCAGTATATGCCATATAACATACACCTGAACAACATAGATGGTGCAATCTACGTTGTGCACTCTATGCGATGCGCAGTATATGTTGCGCGCCTTATGTGGTGCAAAGGTGCCGTGCAGTAGATGTGATGCACTTTAGGTTGCGCAGTCGATATGCTGCGCAATCTATATTGTGCAATCGATGTGGTTCAACACGCGTAATGCAGTCTATGTGGTGCGCAGTAGATGTGCCGTATACGTGGTGGCATATGGGAGGTGCAACCTGCGCGGTGCAATATAGTTGGAACAATCTGTGTGGTGCAACCGATGTGGTGCAATCTGTGTGGCGCGCTCTGTGCTGTGCCGTCTAGGTCATGCGCAACATATGTTGTGTGATCGACGTGGCTCAATACTTCTGGTACAAAATGCGTAATGTCATCTATGTGGTGCATTGTATGTGGTGCAATCTAGATGATGTCATCTTCGAGGCGCAACATATGTGGACCAACCGATGTTGTGCAAACTAGTTGGCGCAAGCTTTGATGTGCAACCGGCGCGATGTGCAATACATGTTTTGCAATACGTAGATGCGTTGTTCAATAGATTTGGTGCGATGTGTGTTGCGCACCCGATGTGGTGCGCAATGTATACTGGTGCAATATGTGCGTTTCCACCGACGTGGTGCAAGATAGGTGGTGCAAGATAGGTGGTGCAACACGTGCGTTTCCACCGACGTGGTGCGATAGTTGGGTTCCCATGTATATGAATGTACATATATATATATATATATGTATGTGTGTATGTGTGACGATGCTCATTTGTCCAGCACTATGCTAGAAGCCTAGCATTGAGATGCACGCGAATGGATCTCGTGAGGCTTGATGTCAAGAGAACACGCTCAAGGGGGCGTCCACGCCACCAGAGAGCTTACACAGAAAAACTTGAGCCATCACGAGTACGAACGGGCTCGACTCGGATAGGAGGCTCAACGGCGATTCATTCGCTCTGTCACACTTGGATGAATCCTATAATGACGATGCTCATTTGTCCAGCACTATGTGTGAAGCCTAGCATTGAGATGCACGCGAACGGAACTCGTGAGGCGTGATGTCAAGAAAACACGCTCAAGGGGGCGTCCACGCCATCGGAGAGCTTACACCATAGTCAATGGTTTGTTCTGGCGCAGCCGCTAAGAAGACACGAGGCGGGCCACCGACGAGCACAGTTTTTTGGGGTATCCTTGGGCGCGGCGGGTCTAAAAAACGCCGTTGCCATCTTTACCTGACATGGGGAAGTGAGGACAGCCTGTG